CTTAGTGGTTGAAAGCCATCGTCTTCACAAAGTGCCAAAAACTGCACAATCATAGTAGACCTAGTGACGGTACGGATGATGTTAGGCATCGCTAAACGCTCGCCACTCTCTAGTTTGAGGGTTCGTTAGTAGTGGATAAGGCACCGGTTGCTCCTTTTTTTGTGGATTTAATTAACTTTTTGTGTGGTATAAATTAACGCAAATAACGTCATGCATCTCATTAACATAGGATGATGTCATACTTTAAATTAATGCCGATGACGTCATGCATTCCATTAAGATAGGATGATGTCATAATTTATTTTTAGCTGGTTGACGTCATGCATGTCATATAGATAGGATGATGTCACAGTTTATTTGTAGCTGGCAAGGAGCAAGTGACGTCAGAATTTCCTAGAGTTCACGTCATCAAAAAATGTTGAGATCATAATCTATAAACAGAAAAGTGATTTTTATATAATTAGCTATTTGCTACAGTTTGCTGATTAGATATTGTTTGCTATAGTCTTCTGATTGGATGTTGTAGAAACTGTCATGCGTTCAAAATAAAAGCGGGCAAATTTTGAACGTGTTATCTTTGCAGGTTATACTAAATGAAAAATCTTTAATCATTAAATTATTTTCACTAAAAATCGGTTATAAACAAAACCAAGACAAGGAGGTTAATTGAAAAATTTTTACTTCAAAAGAAGGGAAAAGGAGGTTAAGCGAAGCGAAATTGTACAAATTTTTCAGGCAAAACATGAAAACGAGGTCGAAGCTCAGCGAAGCGAAAAACTGCCTATCAAGCAAAAGTGTCAATCTTTGATTACGTGACTCTGTAGAAAGTATTGAACAGGGTATGAACATTCTAGATCACCTTCTTACCTTCGTTGACCGACCTTATTTCTACTAACTTGTTGCTTATGGTCAACGAAAGTAGTGGATAAGGCACCGGTTACTCCTTTTTTTTGTGGATTTAATTAACTTTTTGTGTGGTATAGATTAACGCAGATGACGTCATGCATCTCATTAACATAGGATGTCACACTTTAAATTAATGCCGATGACGTCATGCATGCCATTAAGATAGGATAATGTCATAATTTACTTTAAGCTGGCTGACGTCATGCATGTCATATAGATAGGATGATGTCACAGTTTATGTGTAGCTGGCAAGGAGCAAGTGACGTCAGAATTTCCTAGAGTTGAAGTCATCAAAAAATGTTGAGATCATAATCTATAAACAGAAGTGATTTTTATATAATTAGCTATTTGCTATAGTCTTCTGATTAGATATTGTTTGCTATAGTCTTCTGATTGGATATTGTAGAAACTGTCATGTGTTCAAAATAAAAGCGGGCAAATTTTGAACGTGTTATCTTTGCACATTATACTAAATGAAAAATCTTCAATCATTAAATTATTTTCACTAAAAATCGGTTATAACGAAACCAAGACAAGGAGGTTAATTGAAAAATTTTTACTTCAAAAGAAGGGAAAAGGAGGTTAAACGAATGCCAAATTGTACAAATTTTTCAGGCAAAACATGAAAATGAGGTCGAAGCTCAGCGTAGCGAAAAACTGCCTATCAAGCAAAAGTGTCAATCTTTGTTTACGTGACTGTAGAAAGTATTGCACAGGGTATGAAAATTCTATAGAAAACAACAGGTGGTTCTAAAGTAAACCCTAGCTCTTTTGGTTCTTAAATAAACCCCATTCTTGTTCCTGAGTGGAAAGTCTATTTATAAAAATAGGAATAAGAGGTGCGATCGCCTAGCAACACATGTCTTCTTGTTTAGCGCTAAAAATCGGATATAGAGACAAAACACACACACACGTACACAGAGTGGAGCTGAAAACTCTCTATTTCAATTTTGACTCACCATTACGAAAGCGTTTTCTCCGTTCTATCTCGAGGAAACGACTAACTATTGAAATCTCAGCGCTTGATGCGCTTATGGTCTTGGCAATTCAAGCGCCGTTAGTCAGTTAATTATGCGGGTTAACAAGCCTAAACTTGAATACAAATTAGTTCATCTCTACAGCTAGACCCAAGGGAGCGCCTTGACTTATTATTGTAAAAACACAAACAATTGATAACTTAACAAGGATCAATTTAAACACGCGACAAATATATTGACAAGACACGAGATACAGTTTTAAAAACTTTATTGAAAACCAGTGACAAGAAGAGTCAAATAAACAGCGATTTGGAAGGGATGGAAATTAATCATCTTCTTCGCCCATGGAGTACTTGTAAGGTCTAACTCGAAATTTCTTATGCCGAGTTCGTTTCCTCTGTTTGCCATGAGCTTTATGATCATCCTTATAATTTACAAATTGAATCCGACGCCTTTTGAGCTTCGGGCCTTGTGATGGGGTTTCTACTGTGGGAGGAGGGGTCAGGAAAGCAGGATTTAAGGGTAGTGATGGGATGGCGCTTTCGTTTTCAGGTTTTTGTAAGATAGCCGCTTGTGTTAATTGAGGTGTTACGTTGAAGGGGTTAATGGGAGTGGAGAATGTTGCCGTTGCTGTCGAAGAATCTTGTGTGCTTAATGTTAAGTCTGGAACAGTGCTTTCTTCCGGTCGTGTTCTTGTATTTAATTGTTCTTCAAAAGCCAGGTATCTGTTTTGCAACTGAAAGTATCTCTTAGCTTTTTCATCGTCCCGAAGATCGTTTCGAGAAAGCAAGTCATCCATGTTGCCCTGTATTTCTTGCATAGCTGGAAGAAGTGGTACAGGCGAAAGATTTTGCTGCTTTAGATATTTTAAAAGCTCTTGAGGAATATTTTCTTGAAACCCTGCTTGGTTAAAAGCTTCTTCACTGGGCAGGACGTTTGTTCGCAGTCGACAATTATCTTGGGTAGTAGTTTTTTCAGATCAATCAGCAGATAACCAAAAGGTCTTTTTACAGCCTCCTCGTATTGATTTAAAAAGAAATCAGTTTGCCCGGGATTCATTTGCTCGGCAAGAGTCAAGATTTGCAATTTGTCTCGTGGGTTCTTGAATAACACCAAATAATGGCTGTTTAGGCTTATGCTGCGACTACCTTTCCCTTGGTGAAATAGATTCTGCACGATATAAATCACGCTTAGATTGCGATGATGAGAACCACGAGTAAAGAGGTTCACAATTCGCTTGTCTTTACTGGCGTCAATCACTTGATCATCAAACACGATCAAATTCCGTTTGTTCACATCAAAATAGGAATCCTGCTCCAAAGCCGTGGGAATTCCCTTCACGAATTCAATGTGTGGCATGGCGACTAGCATTTCTGTATACGCAGGCTGCCATTGTGAATAACACCAAACAATCCTCTCCGGGGGAGGTTAAATTGTCTCTGAAGCTTGTTGCAAAAGAGATCGAACCCAGGCCGTTTTTCCTGAGCCGGTCATTCCGGCAATCATGGAGGTAAAAGGATGCTCGAATCGAAACCGCTGACATTTCTGTGAAAACGGAACTGTTTGAAATGGTGTGAGACCAACATTGTGGTGTTTAGACATCACGTGCCTTTGCATGCTATCCTTTCTACTAAATGATTTTTCACAAACGGAACAGAACCAACTCCTGTCAGCTCCTCAGGAGCAGAATGTAGACTGAGAAAATGCTAGCATAATGCGCGTTGATATAGTTTTGAAGGCTCTGAAATTCAATAGTTTTCCTCCACCACCGCCACCGCCACCACATTTCTATTGTTTTCCCTCCACCACCGCCACCACGTTTCTATTGTTTTCCCTTCACCACCACCACCACCACCACCGCCACCACATTTCCATTGTTTTTCTCCACGACAGTCAATAAAAGACTGCAAACTACTATAATAAGTTCAGTTTGTCGCAATGTCTCAAGCTGTCAAGAACAATCGTCGTTTTCTTCAATTCTTAGCTGTTTGTCCAGCTCATTAGCAACAGTTTCTTTTTCTTTTAGTCCACAACAACTACATGCATTAGTCCAAGTCTTATACAATATACTTAAGAAATACATTCTTATCCCCGAAGAAAATAAGCGGAACGTGTTGCCATATAAGGATGCTCTAGCAAACCTAGCAAAAACAAATGTCCCTTACAAAACAAAGAAGCGAATCCGTGTACAAGAGGGTGGTGGTTTTATTCAAGACCTATTGGTACCTGCTGTTACAAGCCTAGAATTTTTGATGCTATAAAAGAGGAAACAAAACTATAAGTTACTCATTTGAAGCTACGGTCTGTCACGGGTACTCAGCAAAATGAAGCGGACAATTACTTCGAAATAAACGCACTATTCCCGTCACAAACATCGCCGAGCTAGTTGAGTATGTGTTACTCCCTCATAACAATGAGGTTACTAAGCCTTGTGCGCTGAATACGTTTCTAGATGGACTTGCAGAGTTAGGAATCGATAAAGGCTTAATCAAGAACAAAAGTTGTTAAGTGATTTAATAGAAAAGGAAAAAGGCTACCGAAATGTAGAAAATACTTCCGATAATGAGAGTAATATTGGGGAGAGTTCATTGGATATTGAAAATCAGGAGGAGGAGGAGGAAGAAGTGGCTTCTGAAAATGGCGTTGAAACTGAAGGCACCCAAGAGAGCGACAACGACAATGAAAATGATAGTGAGGAAACAGAAAGTAGTAGCCCTGAAACGTCCATCACCTTTCACTCTAAAAGTCCCTGTGAACATTGCGAAAACTCTAATGTGTACTCCACATTGATCATGAAATGTCCTAAATGCTTTTGGCACGATAACTACACCATTTGTCCTCTATGCGATCACCAGATCCCCGAGGAGAGAAATTATACCAAATAGGGCTTTCTTCGATGTCACGATTGTGGAGCAATTACACACAAAAACGCCAAGACTTTGGAAACCAATTTTTATTCACCTTCTAAAGAGAATAACGAAGAGGAGGTCTAAGTTCCATCCCTTCCAAATCGCTGTTTATTTGACTCTTTTTGTCCCTGGTTTTCAATAAAGTTTTTAAAACTGTATCTCGTGTCTTGTCAATTTATTTGTCACGTGTTTAAATTGATCCTTGTTA